ATTATTTGTAAGTTACTTCTTTCATAAGTTGTAATCATTTTATCCCATAGTTATAGCTTTATTCCAATTGCTACCACTTGTTGAGTTATATTTAATATTTACATGCTTTAGCAAAACATATTCTTTGAAATGGGAATGTTATTTGCTGAGCAAGTCTGAAAGTGGAAAAAATTCAGAAATGTTATTTTTCTCTGGTTTTTGTCTTAAATAGATTCTTGTTAGTTTCAGTTGTTTTTAATTCCTTTATTCCTCTCCATATGATAGCATGATTTCCATATTTTATTCTTCTTTTAAACATTTTTTTCATTGCATCTGTGTGCCAGAACTTAGTTCATCCTTTAATGTTTCCACCTTTCAGTGCAAATTTGTGTCAGATGTGTCTTTTCAAATTAGTGTCAAGTTATTAATTTTAAAACTTTTTATTGAAGTTAAGAAACATAGAAAAATACACATAGTATAAATGTTACAACTCAATTATCACAACCTGAACTCACTCATACAATCGTCATCCAGGTCAAGAAATAGAACTTTATCACCACCCCAGAAGCTTAGTGATCCCCCTTAATCTCCCTCCTCAGGTGTAACATTATCTTGACTATTTACACCACAACAAGTATGAACTTATCTTGTACTTTTATATATATAAAGTTATGAAGTACTTTTTGTGCATGTGATGTTTTTCATACAACATTTTGTATGTGAGATTCATCTATGCAGCTGCATGCTGCCAGATTTCTGGTTAATTTTCATTGTTATTTGAATGACTATATCACAACTTATTTATATAGTCAGCTATTGATTGACAGTTAATCTAGTTTAGATCTATTATGCATAATGCTCCAATGAACACCCTAGTATTTTGGTGCAAATATTCATGCATTGCATGCCTATTGAATTACCTAGGAGTAGGATATAATATGTACGTAGTCTATGTGTTTATATATATATACAATAATTAACCTCCAGAATCACGAATTTTCACTTGGTCAATTTTTATTTGATTTTTGTCACATTCTAATACTGTGTAGTACTCTCACTCTGTGGTTTAAATATGCATTTCACTGGTTTCTAACGAGACTAAGCTTTTTTATTTTTCATATATGTGTTACCATTTGGATATCCTTATTTGTGAAGTGCTTGTTCAAGTATTTAGCCCGCCATTCTAATTGCAGTGTTTGTCTTTTTCTTAGCAACATGCAGAGGTTATCATGGATATGAGTCTTTTCCAGATATATGTATTGTAAATATTATTTCACATTCTTTGATTTGCCTTTACTCTTTCTAAATAATGCTATCTTTTGATGATTGGGAGTTCTTGATTTTAGTTTATACATTTTTAAGGGTTATTGTTTTTTATGTTTTGTTTATGAAATCTTTGCATACCTCAAGGTCATGGAGTTTTTCCATATTACCATCTAGTAGCTTGTTAGGGTGCCACACAGGATAGAGTGGTGTGTGACATTCACTCCCCTCTTTAAAGCATTGGATGTCAAATCACACCACACTAAATGCAGCAATTACAATTAATGTCAGTGTTTATTGCTCATGCAGAAATAAGCAAAACACAGCCAAACCCTGAGTGAATAAAAGCTGTTTCTCACTACCAAGAGCTTGCTCTTGGATGTCTGGAAGGAAGAGAGTGAGTGAGGTTATCAGGGAAAGATATATATAGAGGTTAATATAATAATGTATTAGTGTAGATTAGATGTGCCTATATTATAAACTGAAATAGTGAAACTGGATAGAAAAATGTAGATTAGGATATGGGAGAGGTAAAATGAACAGGTCTTGCTGTCTGCATGGTTTTAAAGTGTGAAGCTGTCTAAAGTGCTTTCAAAGATTCTGAATTATATGACTAGATTTTAGGAATGGAGATAGAAGTTAAAAAGAAAATTTCTCTAGAAGGAGCAATAAGTTTATTGAATATTTTGTGTTTGAATTTTCTTTGGGATTTTGGATGGAAAAGCCTGATGATTAGTTGGAAATATAATTTTGCAGCTAAAGAGAAAACCAGAACTAGGGATGAAAGATTAAGAAATCATTGGCGTATAAATAATATTGTTGGTACTTGGAGAATTCCACAAAGTGTGATTCAAGACTTAAAAACAAGTGAATTAAGATACCAGTAAGCTATATATTAAAATAAATGTAAATAATATTAAATTTGTAAAAAAAACATCTTGACATAAGAGAAAACATTCTAGCAGTAATAGAATTTATAATAAATTAATTGGATAAGTTGGTATATATTAAGAATAAATTTGTCCATTAGAACTTGGGTTAGTAAATCATGGAAGCATACAAAGAATCAGGAAACCAAATTCTGGTAGTTCTTGTTCTTTAAGGGCCTAAAGTCCAGTGATTTAATTGGCTAACCCCAGGGTCTATTGCAATTACTCTCTGGGTTTGTTTTTTGTTTTTGTCATATTTTATGTTTTAGCCTTAAAATCTGAATAACAAATCCTTGGCCATGAAAAGTGCACTAAAATAATGTCAAGTAATGTGTTGCCTTTTAAGAGAAGCATGTCTGTCTTTCCTGAGTGATTAAATGTTTGCATTACTTTTGGCCAGCTGCAAGGTTATGTTTTCTATAAAGTTTCTATATTCATTTTTAAATCCTAAATGTAACTAATGTGATACTTAGGAATGAAATTAAGATAGAAAAAAACTTGTACTATAACTCTGAGAACTACACTGAGGCAAGGGCAAAAGTATTCAGTGAAGTCCTACAGAGAAATAAGAGAATAAATGGAGAGAATCAGAGTGGAGAGAAATAGTGGACATGAATGAAGACACGAGTTTTAAAAAGTAGTAGTAAAAACTATAATGGTGACAAATAAGAACAAAAGTAAAGACTAAAAGTATGCAATAGACTTTCAACTAGAATTATGAACTTTTGGAAGTGTGCTAAAAGGTGATAATGGACAATTTAATCTAAATTGAAAACCAACATTTCAGAGCTTCCATTTCACTTTTCTCTAAGATTCTTTTATTTCATTTCATGCAACAAACTTATCACAGATTTTTTTTTACTAAAGCAATCATTAAAAGAGTACCAGAAATAGCTAATACCTTTTATTGAGCATCTTATACCCTGGGCACTGTTACATGTTTTATATATCTTATTTAGTCTTTAGCCCAATAAATTAAACATTATATTTATATATTTTATAGATGGGCAACTGGGATTTAGAAAGTTCAATTCAAAAGTTACATGTAGAATAAATAGTTGAGATTTAACATAAAGCTTGTGCTTTAATCACTATCATAAATTGTTTGAGAAAATTAATATGCTATCAGGAGCTCTTCTGAACTCTCTTTACTATTCTCTTAACAGGAATTATTCCCTCAAAAGGAAAAGAACTCTAGGAAACTAAAAAAAGAAAGGAAAAATCTCTAGAAAACTAAAAAGAAGATAGGAGAATCTCAAATGGTGAAACTTTTTTTCAGCCTCATCTACAACTCAATTTTGAGACAACTCTATAATATTTCAGTATTAACAGAGATTACAAGATAGAAGTTAGAAACTACAAAAAGACTAAGTATCCATTGTCCATGGAATCAATCCAGCTAAAAGACTATCGGTTACTAAAACATCCCCACCTGTCAACTGCTTTCAAAAGGACATCTAACACTATCATGAGATGGTGCCACTAGCATATTATGATCAACACTTTGTGCCATTAGAACACTCTTACCAAATGGACACAACCAACTCAACAACACATCAGTACACAGGTGAAAATCTAAATCAACCCAATAACCAGTCTGTGGTCAGAGTACAATCCCATAGTAATCACCTTGCAACACCTCTACCAAGCTCTAACCAGAAGGTGCAGAGATCCCCTGCCAAGTCTCCAAACACAATTTCACAGGACTTCTATGACAGGGTTCTGAAATCACCATTATTCCACTCCAAACATCAGGCTACACCTTCACTAGACCTCTACCGAAGGACTTCATTGCAGCCTAATCGGAGAGCACTAAACTCACCTTTAATCCACCCCAAACCTCAGACAACATCTTCACTTTACTTCAACAAGACATCGTCATCACTGAAGCCCAATCCAGTAGCCTTAAGCTCACAATTATTCCTCCCCAAACCTCAGAGTACACCTTCCTTAGACCTTTGCCAGACATCACCTTCATGGAAGTCTAATCAAAGAGTCTCAAGTTCATCATTATTCCCCTTCAAACATCAAGAAACACCTTCCTTAGACATCCTCTGGACATCATCATCTTTGAGACCTAATCAAAGAGCCCTTAGCTCAACATTATCTCAGTCTAAGCCTCAGAAATCATCTTCACTGGACAGACTTTGGACATCTTTATTAGAGCACAAACAAAGATCTTTGAGCTCACCATCACTCAACACTATTCCTCAAACAAATGACTTGCTTCGAACATCACCTTTGTTGCAGCCCAATCAAATGGCTGTGAACTCCCTGTTACCTGCTGCCAGACCTCAGACACCACGTGTATTGAGCCCTAATTCTTGTGTTCTGAGCTTAGCATTGTCTAACTCAAAACCAAAGAAATCACCTTTATCACGTTCTGTCCACCAGACTCAGAGTTTGCCGTTGTTCCAGCCCAAATCTCAGATGGTGCTTACACTTGATCATGTCTTCAGGACCCTGAGCTCACCAGTTTGTCATGCCAAGTTTCAGAACACGCCTTTACCAAATGACAAACACAGAGCTACAGATTTATCTTCACCCCATCCCAAACCAAATGTTTCAGGTCAATCAGTATCAAGCTCCAAATACTGCATCAGGAACGTAGCTGCCTCAACAATGGGTCCCAAGAAGCAGAGTAAAAGCAGCTTTGATCTTTATGCAAGGACAGATTCAAATAAAGAAATTTCATGGAATTTAAATTATATTTATCCCTGCATTGTTAAAGGTGGAACTGTCCCTGATGATGTTGTAAATAAAATTATCAATTCTCTCTCCAAGACCAGAATCCAGAGGGATCTCTGTAGGCAGATTCTCTTTCGAAGGATGAGGGGAAAGCCAAATCCTCATCCTGGTCCCCGCCTTTCATCAAGTTATGTGGTTTGTTTAGCTTGTGGTTCCTGCATAAAATCTCAGTGTAATCATCTTATAGGAAAAAAAGATCCTCGTGGTGCAACACTATTTGTCATACCAACACCTGAGCCTAATTCTGAGGGGAAAATAGAAATGAAGTTAGTTTTTATGCTTTTTCTACCAGAGACTTCTTTCTCACCTTGTCTCCCATTCCCTGTGAAAGAAGATCAGCCCGATGAAGCTCTTGAAGACAACCTTGAAGGAATAGAGACAATATCACAATTTTCCCCCACATCTGAACCTGATATCACCCAGGGGCTTAATATGAAGAAAAAATGGCTGACTGTAGCCCCTGAAAACAAAGTTGTAAGCGAACAGCCCCAGGCTATTGACTGGCTGCTTTATGTTAAGAAAAGTAGCAATTCTCAACCTCAGACCAGGCCCCCATCCTCTCACTCCACATCCTTCTCCTCATCTTCCTCTTCATCTTCTTCCTCCTCTTCTGCTGCACCCTCCTCACCCCTTCCTTACAAACAGTCTACCACATCTACCCTTTCAGGTCATGTGTTCACTAAGTCACTTAGTTACCACCGGTTGCCTCCAGGGGTCTCCTGGCTTGAGTTTATATGTAGTAAAAATCACCAGCCACTTCCTGGAAAAACACATCAAAGTCAATTATCACCTCCCAAAACAAATCCTATGAAGAATAGAACCATAGTGAAAGGGCCAAAAGGGTCAAAGCTACTGTTTAAATTTTTCCGGACAAAGTTTCAAAATGAGAGAAATCTTGATTAACTTTGTTTTTTGAAAGCACTTGTCCCCTTAGTTCTTTGAGACTAGAGTTTGATTTCTTACCATACTTATTAAAATTCTTAGTAATAACTAAATGGTACTCTATATTTTAGCTGATGATGCACATAGTTAAGGGGAACTGTAATGCTTAAGTCTATTTTCTAGTTAAATAATAGACTACAATCTCCTAGAAACCAAACCTGAATCTCTTGTTTTTAACCAAATGCCTGGATTATAGTAGCCACTATGTAATCATTGTTAAATAAATTAATCATAATTGGCTATACCAGAAATACCTCATCTGTCTTGCCCAAGCTAGTATCTAGCTCCTTGTTAATCTCCTTCCTCATAAGAAAACTCAGATCATGTCCAACAAGTAAGAATATATAGATAATCTTTCCAGTTGTGTGTTCCTAGGGAAAATTCTTCTATGCTAAGATCACATACTCTGAAGTCCAATGATTTATTCAACTGTAGTTAACAAATCTCAGGAGAGAATAACTAACTAGTACAGATAACCCTACCTACCTCATGCTGACTGTGCCAATATTTAAATTATGGGTTCTAAAGTCACTTGTACATCACTTTTTAAATGGGTTAATAAAAATGTTTAAAACGTATTTGTTCCACTGGTTCTACTCGTAGTGGAAAGAGAAGAAGGTTGTCTTGCCTATTCACTCAATTAAGTGATCATCTCTATCCCCAAGGGCTAAAATTAATATCTTGTGCATACACTGATGACTCACAATTCTGCCCCTCTGCCCCCCATCTTTCTGATTGCCAGACTGCATAGCGGACATTTCCTATTGGAACATTGCACAGGCACCTCAAACTCAATAAGGTCAAATCAAAATTTACCCTCTTACATTTACAATTTGCACTTTTACATTTGTAATTCTTTATCTCTGTATTCTCAAATTCAGTGGACGTACCACCATCCATCGTGGAGTCATGTTTGACTGTTTTTCTCCTCACCTGGCCCTCTCGAAGTCCATGAGTTCTTATTATTATCTCTAGCATTATTATCTCTAGAATTCAGCCTTTTTCTCCAGCCCCATTGCCATTGTCCTAGTTGTGGTCACAGCATTTATCACCTGGATTACTGCAGTAACTCCTAAACATGCATTTTAATTTCTGAATGCATTTCTGATACACAAATTTGATGCCACTTCACTGCTTATAATCCTTTCCTCATTGCCCATTGTTTTCTGGGGAAAGTCTTAATTTCTTTGATGATTGAACTATTATTACATCACCAAACTGATTTCTTATTTTTCTTCAATCTCCTACCGATGCTTCAGCCACATTAATTTCTTCACAATGTGTAAAATGTGCCCAGGCCTCTCTTACATTCTATACTTTTTTAAATAAAAAAAGGAAACATCAAATTTAATTTAAATTTAAAAAATCAGAAGTTGTCTGAAAAAAAAACAGTAGAGCAAATCAACTTCTGAAAAAGAGTGCTGCATCTTGGTGATCACATTTATTGGAAGGGTTGGAGAAAAAACTGCCATTTAACTTAAGAATTTGTAAGTTATTTGCAAATCAACTCATTTCAGGAGTGGAAGAATCCTTGGTTGTTTCTTAGTATCAAAATTTATCCATTTAAAAAAAAATATCTTCTATTTAAAGAGGCAATCATACAAAGTCTCCTATTTTCCATACAGGATAAGTTCTTTGTTTCAACCAACTCTCAATAGAAGAGCAACTCGTACAACACCCTCTCCCCAGACACAGAGCATTGGAATATTCTGTTTTGTTGATTTATATATCTTTTTCATATGTTTCTTCATTAATTTTTATAGTTGTCACAGTTTCTTCTACACCTCTTAGTATCACATTTAAATGTTGATAATAATAAGCATGTATAATCTACCACAAAACTTACTGTCATTTCTTATTTTCACATACATTTTCTCAACCAGGCTGAGCCTGATGAGATTCAGGGGCTCTTCTATGATGTTGGTAGTTTGTTGCTGGTCCATGTTGTCTGCCATGTTTCAAACCCTGGGTCCTTTCCCCTACATCCTATACTTAAATCAACAATTCTGCTGTCCAGAAATATCTTTTCACCTCTATGTTTTTATTCTACAGTGCTCTATTTTGTGTTGACATCTTCTGGTAAGACTTTTTCTGATTCACTTACAAAGAGGTTAGTTGGCCTTCCTATTATTATGAAACTCCATGTTATCTGTTTGTACAGCTTTAAGCATATTATATAATAATTATTTCTTGTCTGTCTTTATTCACTAGGCTGAAAACTCCTTGTTCACTATTTCTGTTTGTTTGTTTTTAACCTTGTCTTTGGAATAGAGTACATACCCTAAATTATGTGTATTATTGAACTCTTCACCTTTTTTAGTTCTCTGAAGTAATGTTTTATGTCTGCATCTTCCACATAGATTTAATATTGATTGTTCTTTGTATATTTTGTCTTTTTGAGAACATATACAAAAATGTTACTGATGACAGCAGTCATCCTTGTATAATTTCTTATGTTAAAAGTGTTTCATTCTAGTATTTTAGTATTAAATATGATTTTGGCTGATGCACAAGTGATCAGTAATGATGAGAAAGAACACATGTATGTGGTAATATGTTCCAGGCTCTCGCCAATCTTTTTTTTTTGTATTAAAAATATAGCTAATATACAATATTATATTAGTTTCAGGGTTACCCCATAGTTATCCAACACTTGTATGTCTATAGAAGTGACTCCCTCTCTGTTTATTTCTATGTATTAGGTAGGGCTGCTATGTCTCCCAGTCTTGGCTGGGTGGGTGGCCATATGTAGTAGGTGTCTTTTGGGGCCTTGTGGCACATTCTCCCTAGTCACCTGCTCTGGGTGCTCCAAGAGTGTCCCTTGTGTGTGCACCCTATTATAGTTAAGCCTTGATTGCTATTGGCACATCATTTGGTGGTGTTGACCCTTAGGCTGAATGGCTATAGGGCTTGGCCACGTCCACAGCTTATGGGCTGCCGTGTGGAGGGCTTACATTACTGAGTGGGATTCGCCCCAGTGGGTTCTGGAGCTTGTTGAGACCACCCTTTGTGTGTGCCAATTGAGGGGCTAATTGGGTGGTGCTCTGCTGTGGTCTGAAGCCAACCTCCAAGTATGCTGGTTCTGTGGCCTCTTGGGAGGGGCTCTGGTGCAGATCCAGATCACCCACTGCCTGTGACTGTTTGGGGACTACCTGATAGGAGCTACAAAGGGATCTGCGATTGTTTGCTGCCTGTGTTAAACCTGGAGGTGCGTGGGAGAGGCCACGCTACAAACCAAGGACGTCTGCCACCAGTACCAGGCCTGGGGTAGCTCCGCAAAAAGTCAGGACATCCCAAGTCCTGCTGCCACCTTCCAAGTCCGTTAAGGTTCTGCTGCTGATAGAGCCTCTTGGGGTATGCAAGTTGGGTGACGTTAATGTGGACTCTGACTTGGTGCTAGTGCTAAACTTGGAACTATTCAGCAAAAGTCTCAGAGCACACACCGAGGCCATTTGCCACCCACCTGGGGCCTACCAGAGTCTGATAATTTTCCAAGAAAGAGGGCAATGAAGGTGGAATTGGCTGCTCATAGAGAAAGTGCCTCCATTTTTGGAGGAATTGGATGGGGTGGGTTCCCAGTGAGTCAGCAGAATGGAGCAGTGGAGCTAATCTGGCCAATCAGATTCAGATTTGGCCTGTGGGGGCGGGCTCAACACAGGAAAGATGGCGCTTGCCGGCTAGCTGCATGGAAGGAGGACCTCCCACAGGGAAAATGCTGACTGGCCTCCAGTCCTCTCCCTGAAGGCGCACAACTCTCTGTCCAGCTCATATGTCTCCAATGCCTCCTGAGTCACCGACCCTCTGCTGGAGCCCAAGGTGGGTGCCTGCGAATGAATGAATCTGTGCGTGGGCCATTTAAGAGGATGTCTGGGTTTCCCTCAGCGTTCTGTCCCATCCAGATGGTCGGGATCCCCATGGTTTTTTACAGCCAGATGTTTGGGGGCTCCTTTTCTCGGCACCAGCACTCCAGGCTGGGGAGCCTGGTGTGGGGGGCTGGGGTTTATTGGTCCTTCCAAGGGAACCTCCTTGGCTGAGATATCCCACCTGATTCTCAACCACATAAGGAGGCTTGAGGCCTATTTCGCGTCTCCATACCTCCTACCCATCTCTACATGGCTTCTTCTTTATAATTTTAATCATAGGAGTTCTGTTCAGCTAGACTTCAGATGGTTCTCCAGGTTCGTTGTTTTACAACTTAGTTGTTATTTTAATGTGTTCACAGAAGGACACAGGCACTGTGTTTATTTACTCTGCCATCTTGGATCTCTCTCTCCAATCTCTTTAGAAAACTCTTGACATGTGCTTTATTCACCCTGTACTTCTCTTTTGGTGACATACATAACTTATGTAATTACTTGTTCAATATGTTTTCTACTAGACTAAACTTTATGGATGGAGGTCCTGTGTCTGTCTATCTTGTTTACCACTAACTCCTTAGGTCATCATGGTACCTGGCACATACTGAGTATTCAATAAATTTTTATGGAATTAAAGTAGATTTAGGACTTTAACTGATTTTTCTTTATTGGTATAATTTACATGTTTAATTTTCCATTTTTTAGCTTATGTTCTAAAATTTATGCCTCATTTTAATATTCACTTTTTCCTTTGTTTTTTGGACTATGATTTAGTTGTTTTTAACTTCTCTATTATACTGGCAGTTATTTATCTTGTTGTTATAACAGTGTCTACTTTCAAGATTTATTCAAAAGAATTCTTTAACCAATATTTTCTAATTTTTAAATTTGGAAATAAAACCACTTATAATTCATGGGGAAAAAATGCATGAGCAAAAAATTACTAACTCTCCCTCTCCCAGCTTTCATTTATCCCAAAAAAATTCAAAATAGGGAATAACATGTGTCATGCCAGAAAGGACAAGAAATTTCTGCCAGATCTTGTACAGATGAGATCAGATTTAAGAAAGACAGAAGCACTCAAATTTACTACTAGTATATTTA